TTTATGCGTCAGTATTCTGATATTTTTCAGCGTCTACCTACTCATTCCAGATGAACAAGCAAATAAAACAAAACCTATTTACTAAGAAATGTGTCGTATAGGCACCTGTGAAATTTAATTATATTTGTTTAAATCATAAAATATTGCTCGTATATTTTTGTGAAGTTAATTTTTTTGTGTGATGACTAGATAGATTGGTTTAACTTATCTATTGTTATAACATATATTTTTTATCTTTATCCTAAAGGATTTGATGGTGTGTGTGTGAATGAAAATATCTGATCCATCGTTTATTGTAACGTATGTTCTTATTAAAATATACTAGTCTACAAATACAAACATATTTTTAAATCTGAATATTTTCTTCTCTTTTATGCTGCTAAAGGAAATTTCATCAGCATGTCATCTATTGCTTATATCGATGCTAATAAAGATTGTTAATTAAATAGATGTCATTATTTCGGATTCCACTATAAAAAAATTATAATGATTTATTCTTTAATATAATAATAAAATCTTTCATTGATAATTATCAGTCATAGGCATCCCCTTCAAATAGAAAACTAAAACTAAAAAACATTATTTGAATAATCTGATACAAATTTTCTTATTTGCCTGCAACTAAATCATATTTTGATTACATTTAAAGTAGAATAATCATTAAATTAGCTACATTCGCTACTTGTCCTGTTGTTGTATTCATCTATATATTACTTCATCTTTTCATCATTTATTAATTGTTAATACTAAATGGATACATTTCATCATTTTTTTGAATAAATCAATAGGACTGAAATTCAGATTTTGTGTTCTAAATTTTAATGTTTGATTGTTAGCCTAAGCGTAATTCGAAAATATTAATAGTCGAAAGTAGCTTTTATATGATTCGAAATAATTTCATTTAATATTTATTTTAAAATCTTTCCTCACTTGTACCTCAATATATTCATAACTCTTTGTTGTTTTTAAATATAATTAAATATTAGTATAACAGTCTAGTATTATTATTTTATGCATTGTATTTACGACTAAAAGTAATTTTTGATTGTACTTCTACTTTTCTTTCAATGATAATAATATAGATTAAATCATATAGAATTAACAGATCGTATAAATTTATAATTTCTTATCTCGACCATATAAATGAACAGAATTCTTCATATTGATATTATTCATAGGTTTAGACTGTGAAAATCTTTACATGTATGCAATAAGTGCTTTCAAAGATTACGTTTATGTGTAAAATAAAGAACTATCATTGTAACGAAACTATTCTGATTAAAAAAAACGATATATATCTTTATATGGACGTTATAAGGAATTAGGATTAAATACAATCTATAAAACTTTTTATTTGATAGATAAACTCGAGTTCGACTTGATCAAATTCATTGTAATTAATTTGAAGTTATTTTTATTCGTTTGAATTTTAAAAATGATAAATGGAAGTTCAAAAAAAAATTTTTCAGAGGAAATTAAAAAGATAAAAAGTATTACATGATTTTATTGTAATTTTCACAGTATTTTATGACAAAATGTTTATTGTTGCTGGATTAATTTATTTTGAATTAGCTTGTATGCTTTTATAAATTATAATTGGTGCAACTACCTGGTGGTCGTCTATCATAATACCATTGGCAAACATCTCTTGGCATGGATGGATCTTTACAACAGTTGTCCCATGGTATAACATCATGTTTGTTATGTGCATTCCATTGAATTAAATTCAATATATTGTCTGGTGCTCGTTCACGATCTAATGTACCAGCACCTGCATGTGGATCACTCATCCAATTACCTGATCTATCATAACAACATTGAGCACCGGGTCCTTTGCTTTTATAAGCATGACGATAACATCCCCATGCACCTTTATGATAATTACATGTATTTGGTTGGCTACTTGCCCCACAGCCTGCATCTGTTTTCCATACTGCACCACCATCACTAAATTCTTTTGGAAAGCTTGTTGATATACGACATGGACAGTTTCGTGTTTGTTCCAAGAATGGTAATGGATGTGGTTCAGCTTTATACCATTTTTCGCATGCAGCTGTATTTCGGGCTATGGCTTGTGCTCGAGCAGCATCCTCGGGAACAGCATTAGCATTAAGACAGGCGACTGCAATTGTCAGAAGAAGAAGATGAAGCATTTGCATGTCTGAATATCAGTTCACAAAATACTGTGTTTTTGTCATTACTGACAACATTATATACTCCGATGGAAAAAAATTTACGAGTTTATTATCATTGAAAAGTGGTATGCATATACTTTATCATTTATTACTTTCAATTGATTATATTGACTATAAGCAGTATTATTATCGCAAATTCATTTCTTATATTTTTACGTTTATGAGCTTGTTGTTAAAGCTGTAAATGCGACCTATGGATGTTTTCGTGAGAGTCATAAATTGATTTTATTTTATTTTGTTAAACGTATAACTCGCCTTACGAAAAAACATATTATGATTAATCTGAAATATACAATCATTGTTTGAATGAATATGATACATAATTCAAAGTTTAGAAATAAATGTCGAAGTATTTTGAATGAGTAATATAAAAAATATGCTGTTTTTTGAAATTATTTATTAACAAATTTAGTACACAATAAAACTAGATTTTCTTGTGTAATATGCAATCCATCTGAATATTTTTCGTTTTCTAATTGTTATTGCTTTATTACTCTATATGATAACAATATTTTATAAGTATGACAATAAATTGATTATATGCGCAATACTTAACATTGAGGACAAATGAAGAAGTATTAATGCTGACATTTTATCTAAAAAACTAGGGCAATCAAATTTTGTGTTTTTGACTTCAAAAGTTTTATAATTCGGATGAATAATGATAGATCACTAAAAGAAGTTGAAGCAATAAAAAACAACGACATATCTTCTATTACGTATTTATAAAGTTTATTGTTCGTTTTTTTTCTTCTAGAAGAATTATATTATATCCATAATTAGTCATGACAGTTTATTCTAACATAAAATATTCTGAACAGTGAATCAACAGTATTAGCAACTGTTTTATTTTGTATTATTATCTATATGGAGGAATCATATAATGATGAAATGATTCATTTTCATGTCATATTTTATTATCGTTTTCTCTTATCATACAAAAAGAGTAATGAAATTATTTTCAGTAATAATAAAATAAAATGAATTGAAATTATAAAAGATAGTATCTACATAAAGATCGCAACTCAGCTCTTGGCATTTAAAATACTTTATCCTGTTTACTAGACAACACAGATGTAATACACTTTCGATGATATTATACTGAAATCGATAAATATAAAAGTTGTCGATTTTTTTTCATACTATTGGTGTAAAAATTACCGCATGTTCACCGTTGTTTTTTTTTAAATAAATCAATAATAACAAACATTGAATTATAGTTCATTTCATTCGATATTCGTAATATTTTCATTTATTAACATAATTGATAAAGTATGTGTCATATGGTATCGGTAATGTTTGTTGTAAATATATATTTAGTTAAGTTTATACTTCAAAATGATCTTGTAAAAATTCAGTATGAAAATTTATTTTCTATTTTTCGGAGCTATTTTATTTATGTTTCTTACGGTTCATAGTATTATTCTTCTCTATTCCAATTATATTCACTGGTCAAATCAAATATTATGTTGATAGTCATGTATATCAAATACTACTTAATCTTTCATTCATCATTATTTTCTCCTTATTTGTTTTATGGAATTATTTTAGTTAATTATCAACATATAATTGTCGTATTACTTATATATTATGATTGCTTTATTTTATTTTATAGATTCAGTTGAAACATCTGTAATGCAAAGAAATCAAAACATAATAATATATATATGAAAACGTGGTATACATAAAGATATTTTATTCGTTCTTTATTCATACCAATACTCTATCAAGTATGCCACGTGTGCAATTATGACTGAATATTTTATTGACATTCATATTTTCGTATTTATCAATTTTTTTTTCTATATACAAAATTGTATCTCGATCCTTTTGTATTATTCTTTTTCAAACTGATCAATATATATGTGTACATTGAATGAAAACAACTAATGAATAATTGTTTAAATAAACAAATGTAAATGTAACTTCAGTTAAGCATAACATTCATTTCAGAAAAAATTTCATCAGAAATTATCAAAATTTATTAGAATATACACAATGATGTTAAAAATTATAAAAAATTAAGAAATATCATTGATTTTAAATGAAATACTAATAATGATGGTTTTATTAATAATATCCTCCACCATAACCATATGGGTCACCATATCCATATTGACCACCAGCTCCACCTTGATTGTATGGATTTCCGAAGCCCCAAGTACCATATTGGTGATGATGCCATAATTCATAAGCACCTAAACCAACAGCACCAACTAATGCTGCATCCATAAACGGGTGATTAAGATGATGATGATGATGCATATTGTATATGTATTTATTTAATGTAATCGTCGAAAACAAGAATGTTATTGATGAGAAATCATACTCGCTATATATATAGATCGGTTCATTGTACATAAAAGAGAGGGGTAGTTGAATTATTCATGCATGAATTGTTTCAATATGACCCATTAATCCACGTCTTTCTGACTATTGCGTCAATAAAATATATGACTATGTCTTTATTTTTTTCATGACGTTAAAAATGACGCACAACCATGCTTGAATCAAGGACAAAAACCAGTTCACAAAAGAATATAGAATATATAGAGGTTATATTATAAACATCCCATTTAATAGTTTTATCATTCATCATCGGTTCAATCTAGTTCTAATACTTTAATGTGTGATATATGTGAACGTTCTTTAAAAAAATATCAGTTTCATTTATTCTTGTTGAAAAAACTAAAAAACTGGCATTTATACGATCCAAATAAAAAAAAGAAATAAAAATATGAATCGATTATATCTACACTAGCATCAAATAACTGAACAAATAAATTATATTCATTTATTGGTTGAATATCGTAGAAGCTAAAATAAAATCCAAGCATTTTTTGCTCAATTTATTCTTTGTGAATTACAACTTTATCGTGATGCATATTTGCTATGATTTCAATTAATCCTTCTCAATTATTTCTGTTTTATTGAAGAATTCCTGTTATGTTCACTTCATAATAACGAAAAGTATTACTAAATGTTGAAGCGTCAACCTTTTCGATTCAAATTATTTATACAAACAGCATAAGGGTGATCTCTACACTTTTGAAATCTTTTTACATTTGTTTTGTTTGTTACGCAATCTAAAATCTATTGCAAATCAACAAGATGGTTCTATTCTAGTTTTTAATTATAATTTTCAAAATTACTACTTGATAGTACTTGATGTATTATCATTTCTCGATTACTAATGAAGATTAATAATTGAATGTAATGATTCATTTTTCTTGAAGATAAATAAATACAAAAGATATACATGGCATCGACATATACCTTATATGCATTCTTGATAGCTGAAACAATATATTCGTAGATGTATTCTAACTATTCAAAAAAAATGGATTAGTAGGATGTTCTTGTGATTAATATTTTAGAACATGTTGTCCTCAAATAATATATATAAATATATTATAATAAGAAGATAAACTTAAGTGTAGATATACTGTTGTTTTTCACAACTATTAACAATTGATATAACTGACTAATTCTAAGATAATACTGATCAGATTCTCAAAGCATCTGATCGATAATTTTTAATAAATGAATCTTTTTTTAAATAAACTATATAACTCATATTGTAGCGATTAGTTATCGTAGAGTTATATTCTACATATCTATTCTAATCTTGTATGATGATATTTTCTCGAGATCAATAGTTAAAAGTTGACTAGTATATTTATCTATTTCTATCAAATAAGGCTCAGCCAGTAGGAATATCATATATTCCGTCAATGTATCGTAAAATTGTCGTCTCTCTATTTTGAACTGATTAATGTATGACTAGGATTAAAAATCGCATATATGCTTTAATAGAATTTTACTTTTATTATGCACATCAATTTAATTGCACACTATGAAATTTGAAAGGATAATGACCAATTTCAAGTATTAATAGAAAACATAAAACAACAACTAATCGTACAACGATTATTAACCTTTTGAAGAGAAAGTTAAACATGAAATGTACTTTAAATTCAATAAATTATATAAATATACAAGTTTATCTATTGTTATTCTGTTTCTTCTTACTTATAAGTTACCTCTTTTCAAAAATAGAAACGATCTTTATCAGAAACAGAAAAACACGTGTAAGACAATTAAATAACATGCATTTTTTTTCTCCTCTTTCTCCTTGTTATGTATGATTATATGTGAAATAAACTATTCGTTTATAATGCCGACCATTTCTTTATCAACTAACTCTTTTCTTCATTGTTATTAACAAAGATATACTTTCTTTTGAATCGTATATCAGGTATTTGTACATGAAACAAATAATCGAAGTAAGAGAATGACTATAAACGTGATAGAATGAAAACAAAAGAAAGAGGATGAAATAAGACAATATACCACGTTGTTGTCCATTATTTCTTTAACGTTATTATCATGTCTTTTTCTATATTCTACATCACGGGTAACTTAAAATATATGACAGAACTTTGTATTTCATATTTTAATTATCAAGAACATTTTGTTAAACCAAAACAAAATATACTAGAAGAAGCAGAGTGAAAAGCTCTATAATCTTCAATGTAAAGTTTATGTTGATTGCGTATTTTTTCTTTCAAATAAGCACTATTCTCAGCAAACAATTCTCGGTGCTGCGAAAAGTAGTTCAGACAATTTTGCTTTTTCTTAATAACAAAAACTGCATATATAATATAAACTAGTTTTTACAAATTATACACCTTTTTCACACTGCATCTTGACATGCATTTTTTTATTACATAAAATGTATCAGGTGATAAATAAGAAAAAAAGGGGTTTGTTGTATACGAAAACATCCCCTTTTTTTCCAACATCGAAATTTCATCATCCAGAATTTTATCGGTTTTCAAAATAAATAAATATAACCGTGAAATTATCTAACTTATGTAAATCATAGAGCTTTTCACGCTGCATCTTGTGACATATTTTGTTTTTGTAATAAAACATATTTAGAGATCAAAATATAAAATGCAAAGTTCGCTTATTTATTATGGGTCATTCATTAGTAGATTTTGCATATAATCCTAAATATGTCTAAGCATTATAACAGAATACTTAAACTCAAACTGAGCCTTTTAAAAGGGTCGGACAAAAAAACTTTTGTAGTGCCCCATGTATTTAAATCAAAAAGATATTAAATATCATATATTCATCATCATAATGATGCAATATTCAGAAAATGTAATGACTTAAACAAAGAAATCAAAACATAATAATATATATATGAAAACGTGGTATGCATAAACGTATTTTATTTGTTCTTTATTCATACCAATACTCTATCAAGTATGCCACGTGTGCAATTATGACTGAATATTGTATTGACATTCATATTTTCGTATTTATCAATTTTTTTTCTATATACCAAATTGTATCTTGATCCTTTTGTATTATTCTTTTTTAAATTGATCAATATATATGTGTACATTGAATCAAAAACAACTAATGAATAATCGTTTAAATAAAGAGCCATATATATAACTTCAATTAAACATAATATTCATTTCAAAAAAAAAAATTTATGGTTTATTTGTTTTTAACGATTATCGGAAACTTCAGAAAAATTTTCATGAGACATTATCAAGATTTATTATCATATAAACAATGATGTTAAAAATTATAATAAAACTTTAGAAGAAATATCACTGATTTTAACAGATGCACTAATAATGGCGATTATATCAATAATATCCTCCACCATAGCCATACTGGCTACCATATCCGCCTTGACCACCACCTCCTTGATGTTTATTTGGATTTCCAAAGCCCCAGGTACCATAATGATGGTGATGCCATAATTCATAAGCACCTAAACCAACAGCACCAACTAATGCTGCATCCATGAATGGATGATTAAGGTGATGAGGCATCTTGTATTGATATTTCTTCGATATAATCGTCGAAAACAAGAATGTTATTTGTGAAGAACCATACTTGTCTTATATATAGGTCCGGTTATTGTACAAAAAAGAAAGACGTAATTAAGTTCAGTCATGCATGAATTGTTTCAGTGTGACCTATTGATCCCCGCCTCTCTGTGTATTTCCTCAATAAAATATTATATGAGTAATCATTTATTTTTTTCATGACATTCGGAGTGACGTACGAACATACGTCAATCAAGGACGAAAGCGCGTACTTGCACAAGAATATAGAATGTAGAGGTTACCATAAACATCAAGCTTAGTATTTTTATTATTCATCATCGATTCAATCTACTTGTAATACTTTGATGTGTAATATATATGAACTTACTTTAAAAAAATGACTAAAAATATAAATTTATCAATGTTTCGTAACAAGGAGCGTTACTTCTTAGTTTTGAAAGTAAAAGAAAATTTGAAGTTTTGTTATTCATAAAAAATTCTTAGAAAATTTTACTATGTTTTCAAATATCAACAGAAAAGATAAAACAATAACTAATCGTAAAACTATAACTAAAGAAAAAATGGAAGAATATTGATACTATTTTTCCATTACATTACGGTAACATGTGTCATTATAAATGCAAAGTTTTCTACGTGACCACCTACATTTCTCATGTACAATACATATTAAAAGTAATCATACAATCTTTTTTTTCATAAATATCAACCATATAATCAATGTACTCTGTCGAATAGATAATCCGAAACGAACAGTAATTCGATGTTTGCATCTTTAAATATTCTTTATCTAATAAAGTCGATGTTCATATGTAACATCTCGTAGACATATGTAAATGTTTGAAGATTTTCTATATTATTAGACTATTGATAAAGAATACTGTATAATAATTATCAAAAAGTAAAAAAAATGGTTCTATTTTCAATAGAAATACTTCCTAAGAAAACGACAATTCTCTCTTTCACCAATTTACAGTAGAAATAAAATAATTATTTATTAGAGAAAATTCATTTGTTCGTTTCTATTAATCTTTCAAAGGAAAAGTTAAACATGAGATGTACTTTAAATACAATAGATCATAGTTATACCAGTTTATCTATTGTTTTTCTATTTCATGGTACGTTATCTCTTTTCAAAAATAGAAACGATCTTTATCAGAAACAGAAGTGCACGTGTTAGACGGTTAAATAACACGAATTTTTTTCTCCTCTTTCTCCTTGTTATGTATGACTATATGTGAAATAAACTATTCGTTTATAATGCCGCCCATTTCTTTATCAACTAACTCTTGTATATATTCCTTGTTATTAACAAAGATATGCTTTTTTTTGTCTATGTAATTTTGAGTATGAACAATTTAATAATCTAAGTTTTAACTGTTATCATTCTTCCTATTCTTTTCAATTGTATATCAGCTCTTTATACATGAAACATATAAGCAAAGGAACACAATGACCATAAACGTGATAGAATGGAAACAGAAAAAAAAATAGGATGAGATAAGACAATATACTTATGGTGAAAAAAAGCGTGACTTCTGACATAATATCAACTATTGTATAATTGAAAAATACTTTGAAGTTACACATTGTGTTTTTTTAGATATGTCTTCTTTTCAAATGACCAACGATAGTATTAATGCAACTGTATATGATATTAAGATGAAAACAATCATGTTTACTCGATATTGGTGTATAACAATGTTTATTGTTGGTTTTATTGGACATTCATTAAATCTATATGTATTTACTCGTCGTACACTTCGTTTTAATCCATGTGTTCGATATCTTATAGCATCATCTATTGCCGGTTATCTTATCATTTTTATTATTCTCCCACTACGTCTTTTACAATTTGGTTACAATATAAGTTTATTTGTTCCTTCAATAATATTATGTAAATATTTAACATTTCTTTGTTCTTGGATAAGGTATTGTAAATAAGAATATTATTGTTAAATGAATTTCAATTTTATTTTATAGAATATTACCTTGTTGGTTTATAGCTCTAGCATCCGTTGATCGGTAAATAATTATAAATAAGAATTAAAGTATATGAATAAAATATTCAATTTTCTTTTAAGATATTTTTTTACTTCATCATCACGTATTTTGAATAGTTGGAGTTCAATTCGAGCTTCGAATTGTTTTATTTTTTTATCAATTGTATTTGTTGGTTTAACACAAACTCCAATATTATTCTATTTTACAATTGATCCTCAAATAAGGAGATGTCTTGGTCAACCAAATTCATTTCAAAAATTCAATGGAATTCTTATTATGATTGTATGGAGTTTTATTCCATCATTAGCAATGCTTATTTTCGGTTTTTTAACTATTAATAATACACAAAAATTAGCTCAAAACATTACAGGTCAAAATATTACAAAACCAAAACGAAAACGAACTAAATTTCTTGATAGACAATTAATTCAAATAACACTTATTCAATCAATACTCTTCGGATTAACATCAGCTGCTGGTGCAATCGGTGGAATGCATAATGTTCTTAATAATAATTTACGTAAAGATCGAATAGCATTAGCTAGACAAAGTCGTACTGGAAATATTCTTTCTTTTATTGGTCTTCTTAGTCCGTGTATAAGTTTTTATTTATGTACATTATCAAGTCGATTATTCCGACGTAAACTTATAAAATTATTTCATGTTCGACAACAAAATCATGTGCAATCAGTTACAAATGGATTACATATGAGTTTAAGAACTAGATAACTGATTGTTTTTTTTTCAAATTTTTTTTTTATTAATAAAATAAATAGATTGTATTTCAGGCTTTTATACTTGTGAGTCATAAAAGGGCGGATTATACGTTTGAAATTACATATCTACATGCTCAAGATAACCACATTTATCTTAAATCTATGAACCTAATGAAGCGATATATAGACATATTATTTTTGTATTTACTATGAAGGGTTTGTTATATTTTTCATTATATAAAATACATAACCATAGCTCTCGGAATATTTCTTGTACAAGTCAATCTCATATTGTTGTTCATTTAGTATATTTTCTTCGTTTGTATGTCCTTGGTATTTTATCCGTAACTGTCGAATTTTTGCTTCCATTGGTCCATAATATTCTTGCCACCATTCTTTTTCATCTAGTACGAAACTATCAATTAATTCATAACCACATTTCTTTATGATTTCGAAATTTTCTTCTTGAGTACGCATTTCAGGATAATTTTTCGTCCAAAATGCATGAGCTTCAGCTGGTGGATGCGTAGTGCGCCAAGTTATTTCAGAACAAACAAAATAGCCATCTTCTTTCAAGAATTTCTTCCATTCAGTAAGACCACGTTCAAAACCGATTATATAAATTGAACCTTCAGACCAAATCACATCGAACATATGTGGATCAACAAATTTTTCAAGACAAAACATGTCGCTATGTAAGATAACTATACGATGTGAAACCTGTTGTTCTTTGGCTTGTGTTGATAATATCTCTATAAATGGTTGATGCTTATCAATTGCAGTTATACTATGTCCTAATTTTGCTAATTCGACAGTAATCATACCAGGACCGCAACCAATATCAAGTATATTTAGTCGTGTTTCATTTGAATTAATAGTTTGTAGAGCTCGAAATGTTGACTGAATACTTCCGGGACCTTGTCTTGACAAATTATTATGAATTTCAAAAAAAATCTCTTGACCAAGATCATTTGAAGGTAAAGACATTTTCACACACACGTATTAAATAAAATAAAAACAAGTATGATAAGAACTACTGCAGAGATAGAATAGAAACTATAACAGTCCTGTTTGATAAAAAGATAAGTGCAGAATCAAAAGAAAAATCATTCTTGTGAATATTCAAATGAAGATTTATCCGCATTGCTGCTTTGTCAAATCACATTCCTGATACTTTTTGTTGTTGTATCATGAATAATTATCATAAAGCATAAACAAAAACTTAAAAAAGTAGATCGTATTAACTATATATACACTGAGTATTTGAAAAATCTCTTATCATTATGGATTATGACGAGGAAAATAACAGTACAGTTACAGAATATTCAATAGATCCAAAACCTATTTTATTTAGTATATTATTATTCGTTGAAATTGCATCTATTCTATGTAGTCTTATTATATTAATTTATTTTTTCTTTCATTGGAAATCAATGATAAATAAAGCATTACAAAATCATGTTATTTTTCTTCTTATTATTGTTTCACTTTTATATACAACTCTTGATTTACCATTTACACTTAATTCTCAACGTATTGGTTATGATTATCCTCAAACAGTATCATTTTGTCGTTGGTGGTATTGGATAGATTGGACACTTCTAGTTAATAGTCTTTATCTAACAGCTATTGCTAGTATACAACGACATATACTTATATTTCATAATCATTTATTACAAATAAATCGAATACGATTAAAACTTTATTATATTCCATTAATATTTTCAATAATTTATCCAGCTACTTTTTATCTTATAACGATTTATTTTTATCCATGTGAAATGCCAACATATGATTATGTTCAATATTGTCCATATCCATGTTATTGTGATAATCTTATTTTATATACTATAGATTATATGATTAATACGGTCTTTCCAGTTGTTATTATTATTATTATAGCAAATATAATATTAGTATGTCGAGTAATTCATTCAATGAAAAAAATTCGTCGAAATCATTTTGATATTTGGAAAAGACAAAAAAAATTAACTTTACAATTACTTTCGATTTCATTATTATATATAATAGGATGGGGTCCCGTTACAGTTGTCTCTGTCATACAAATGTTTTTTATGCCGAATATTTATGATGACATACCGGATATTTATTATGTTACTTTTTCAATATATTTTATTTGTACAATGCAATCATTTATAAGTTTATTTGCATTACCAGAATTATTGAGTTTTATTAAGAAGAAATTGAAACAAATATTATCAAAAGAAACAGTCACACCTGTACAAACAATTCTTCCAACTCGTTAACTATGTATTTCTCATTTAAATCTTTTCTGAATTCATAGATATTGATGAGAATTAATATGACATATATATATGAGAAATTATTCATGTATTGTTTCATTACATTCTAAAACATTCCATTTGTTCATGATTTATGGATGATTATACATATTAATCATCAGAAAGAAAAATCTTAAAATGAAGTATCATCGTAGAATAACAGTTCGGAATGTATCGCAGAGTATAGGTATGAATGTTGTTATTCTTTTTTTATCTATATCCACATCCACACCCTTCATATTTAACTTTGAAATATAGGAAAAAGTTTAGCTGCTCTCAATCTTGTTTATTTATTTGAAAAAAAAAGAATTATAAACCACAACGTTGTCTACATTCAGCAATTCCAACCGACGGATTTTGTACAAGATGTACACGAATATCTTCTATTGTTGTTATGTTTAGTCCACCAAGCGATGCACCAACAACTGTGGCTGGTAATGAACCAAAAAAACTATTTCCAATAGTCAACACACCTGGATCTTCACTATTAAATGCAGCAACAAATGTTGCTGGTGTACAATTTAGATTCTGTTCAAAATGAATAGCACCTTTTGGAAAAACAGCGACTTGATTCTTATGTATTTCATTCATGACAAAACTAGCACTGTTTTCTTGAAAAAATCCAATTTGAAAATCACCATCAACTGAAAAGTTAATTTCTGTTGCTCTTGGATGTGTATGTGGAAGATTAATACCACATGGACCTAAAAAGCCAATTGTCATTGCTATGCCATGATTAATTAATCCAGGAAAATTTGCTGCCTAAAATAAAATAGAATATCGTATTACAATTTGTTTTTGTTTTCAAATAAATGCAATACATACAGTTGCCGAAACAGTTCGACCACCAGTTCCTGTTGAAACACCTGTTACTGCTTTATCAAAATCAAAAATAAAATCGGATGGATTTGTTTTCGATAGAAGATTCAATTCACTGTACGAGTTTTTAATTGATTCGAGACGACTAGGTGCTAATGGATTTGTATTATTTGCTACTGTTGATGTTGATGTTGATGTTGATGGTGTAGTTGTTGTTGTTGTTGTATTATTTTTCATTGCAAATTGTCTGCAGACCAAAGCATCAGAGAAGATAGCTAACATGCATAAAGATTGAATTAAGGCCATGTTTGTTTTGTAAGTATTTGGAGTGAGGTACTATTGAGTGAATTTTTATGTGTATTTATATGAGTCGAATTGATGTGAAAAGAACGAGAAAGAAAAAGAATGAAGTATGATTTTGGATTTGTTGACATTAGTCATGACATGAGATTGTGTGGTTTATGTTAGAAAGACGAAATGTGTGATTTTATAAAAATCATTGATGGAATTTATTGCAGGTTGCAAAAATCATAGAATTTCTTTTATATTATGACTGGTAAATTGTATTTGGAAAGAAATCATATAGTCTGAGCACTTCCATAATGAAAACGGAAGAGCATGACAAAAATATAAGAACTATTATTATTAGAATAACAATCGAAAGCTATGAAAGTCATATTTTTTAAGAAGAAAAATTTTAAATACACTTTAGTACATTCATGGTTTTATTTTTGTAACAAATCATACATGCGAGAAGAATGAAGGATGTCTGCAGATATTTTCTCACTGTCATGAAGTTTTATGAAATCGCGAGATGAGCTAAATGTAAAATACATTTTTTATATAATACCCAAACTGACGTATGCTTAAAAGAAAAGATTATCTTATCAAAACAAATTGTTTTTTAGCAGTGTAATTAAATTTAAAGTTTTATAATAAAATGTTTTTCTTGCATGGTTATTTATAATTACAAACTATTTTTTTGAATATTGAGCTGAAAAATAATACTACTAAATTAAAATATTCATATCAATATACGGATTATTTTTTGAACCTTTTTTTTTACAGAAAATAAGCGAAAAAAAACAATCGAAACTGTTCACCAAAAGATTTTGTTTTCTATATATTGAGACTAGTCGATCTGAGATGTATGTGGAAATTGCTATTTATATATACTTATACAATCTTTTGTCCTATTTTCCGGTATATATAAAAATGAATGAAATCAGTCAATTATATTACTTTAGAGTACAAATAAAATATAAACTTATTCTTAATAGTTCTATTAGATCCTTATCTTTGATTTCAACAATCTTACTCAATTAAACACCACAATTGTAAATTATATTACAAGCAATATAGATGTATTTTTTTCATATTTAGTATAGATATACTTGTGGTTTTTTAGTGACTTTAACAGTTGAATATCTCAAAAGGAAATGAATTATTTTATAAATGATAATTTTATTTGACTGTTAAACAATATTGATAATGATATATATTGTATAGAGATTGAGATAGAACTTTTGTAACTTAGAATGACATATTTAGCCAAGTCTAGATCAAATATCAACTGTGTCAGTATTAATCACAATATTAGTTATGTGAAATATCACGATCGAAATCTTTTTCAATTCAAGTAGATTTTGTGTAAATGAGTCGCCATTAAATACTTGAGAAGATATGATTTAAACTTATCAGAATGAATCCTATTATACTAACAATTTAGGTACATATTGACAGAACTTATGAAGAAATCATATTACATTTAACAAGAAATTATTCTCAAAAAAATATCAGTCATCATTATTATACGTGATTCTAATATTAGTATAGAAGTTTTTTTGAGTAATATGGTAAGAATGGAAACTAAATAACACTACAAGATTTAATTCATCTTAGTATTTTCCGCTTTAAGTAAATACTAGTAACATTTTTTTGATTTATTTACATATGTATCTCTATTTTTTATATAAAGTATGTTCAACATTTCAAAATTGAATTATTTTGTAAATGAATCAAATCGTATGCCGTTTGGCAAGAACAATCTTGAAGGTAATATTATAACTATAATGACAGAGTTACCATTTTTAGTCTTAATTTTGCTATCATGATACTAATGATAAAAGTAAATTTATTCACAAGATAAATCATATATAATCGCATTAGACAAATACAACGTGGCAAATATAGATTCATTTTTTCAATTTCCTAATTATATTTTGAATTTTTCTTGTATTTTATTATCAATAAAAATAGTGAGTTCTTCTTCTTCTACTCTTCATTGTTCATGTAAAATTGATTTTTAACGAAGAAAAAATTAACTACTATGTATTATCGTGATTATTCAGCTTCAGTGATGTATAAAATACATTTGTAAAAAAGTATAGACGTTATCGAAAGCATATGAATGAGAACAGCACTCACTCATTCATTATTAATATGCTTTTTCAGGTAAATGTTTCCTATACAAAAGAATGGGCGTACTTCATTGCTTGAGGGGAAGGATCAGACATAAAAGTATAGGTAATATCCATAATTTTATATTTTTTGACATATCATAATATGACTACTTCATTTTCTACATTAAAAATCTTATTGTTTGAATTAATAATTCTTTTATGAACTTATTTTTCTCGCTTACTTTATTTTTTTATCTGAACAAAACAAAAATTCATAAAAGTTTATTGTTTAAATGTCTATAAACCACAACGTTTTCTACATTCAGCAATTCCAACCGATGGATTTTGTACAAGATGTACACGAATATCTTCTATTGTTGTAATGTTTAGTCCACCAAGCGATGCACCAACAACTGTGGCTGGTAATGAACCAAAAAAACTATTTCCAATAGTCAACACACCTGGATCTTCACTATTAAATGCAGCAACAAATGTTGCTGGTGTACAATTTAGATTCTGTTCAAAATGAATAGCACCTTTTGGAAAAACAGCTACTTGATTTTTATGTATCTCATTCATAACAAAACTAGCACTATTTTCTTGAAAAAATCCAATTTGAAAATCACCATCAACTGAAAAGTTAATTTCTGTTGCTCTTGGATGTGTATGTGGAAGATTAATACCACATGGACCTAAAAAGCCAATTGTCATTGCTATGCCATGATTAATTAATCCAGGAAAATTTGCTGCCTAAAATAAAATAGAATATCGTATTACAATTTGTTTTTGTTTTCAAATAAATGCAATACATACAGTTGCCGAAACAGTTCGACCACCAGTTCCTGTTGAAACACCTGTCACTGCTTTATCAAAATCAAAAATAAAATCTGATGGATTTGTTTTTGATAGAAGATTTAATTCACTGTACGAGTTTTTGATTGATTCGAGACGACTAGGTGCTAATGGATTTGTATTATTTGCTATCGTTGATGTTAATGTTGATGTTGATGCTGTTGTTGTTATTGTTGTTGTTGTATTATTTTTCATTGCAAATTGTCTGCAAACTAAAGCATCAGAGAAGATAGCTAACATGCATAAAGATTGGATCAATGCCATATTTGTTTTGTGAGTATTTGAAGTGAAATAGTATTTAATGAAATTTTATGAGTATTTATATAAGTCGAATTGATGTGAAAAGAACGAGAAAGAAAAAGAATGAAGTATGATTTTGGATTTGTTGACATTAGTCATGACATGAAATTGTGTGGTTTGTGTTAGAAGACGAAATGTATGATTTTATAAAAATCATTGATGGAATTTATTGCAGGTTGCAAAAATCATAGAATTTCTTTCATGTCATGACTGATAATCGCACTTGGAAAAAATCCTACAGCTTGATCGAATTCTTTATAAAAAGGGAAGCGCATGATTGAAACTGAATCATTTTTCAATTCTCCTTAAGTATATAAGGTTGACTTTTACATTATTTAAAATATAAAATAAAACCAAATGGCTAGAATTACGACAGATATGAGGTGAGTCATTGTTTTTATACTAAAAATAATTTTTTATAAGAGAAGTTAGACGAACAATTATAATTTTATTTACAGGCAAGTCAAGAGTGAAAATCTCGTGAACCGTGACCATGCTACAAGTAATCGGTATAGTCTTACACAAGCTCTATCACGATTACGATCAGTAAAACCTCGACAAAATCCTTCAACAGATTTTGTACCTAGACCATTGACTTTGTAAGACTGAAAACAAAAATATTTTTCTCTGTTAAAATAATTATTTTTTGAATTTAGATTACAAAAATTATCATTAGCACCAATAAAGTAAGTACACGAATTATATCAATTGATTTTATAATATACATATATAATTGAATAGATCAAGTGATCATCGAGCTATTCCATTTGATATAATAGTTCGACAACAATTCAAAGATTTACTTAATGAACCTATATCTAAACAACATCAACGGTACTTTAGTAAATATTTCACGGATGATATAAGTACCAAAACATTTACTATCAAAGAATTTGGTCGATTATTTCAATTAACATCTTTACTTAGTAAGTTTCTATATTCTTTTCTTAAGTTAATGAATATAATTTCTTTTTTTTGTAGCTAAAAGAATTTTAATAGTATTTAATTTAAATGAATCATATGAAAAAAATTCGATATCAGGTGAAGATATTATTCGTATAGCTCGTCTTCTTTGGATTTCACCAATGCCAATCAAAGCTTTTATACTTTTTAAATTATTTGATAGCAATGATAAAGATATAATATCTATTAATGATATTCGTTCATTTTATGAACAATATTTATCAGAAGTTAAATATTTTAAAGATGAAAAAAGACTTCATGAAATTGTAGAAATATTTTTACAAGGATTTTTTCCATTAAATAATGAAAATCAACAACAACAGCAGCAACAAGAATTAAATTTTGAACAATTTCACCAAATTCTTCAACAAAATCCATCTGTATTTCAATCACTCTATCTTATTAGTATACCTGATCAAGATAATGAAGATGATGAACAAACAATTTGGTTTAAACGATGGTTGATGTATATTAAAAATAATGCAAATCGTATTGCTTTTCTTATTTTATATATGTTAATATCAATTGCATTAATTATTTATGTGATTATTTATCGAGTTATAGTTCTTGAAAATCATTCTGTACCACAAGTTATTGCTCGAATTGGTGGTATGTTAGTTAATTTTAATTATGCTCTAGCTGTTAGTCTAATGCTCAAACAAACAATGACTATTATTCGACGTTTATATTATCTTCGTATATTTATACCAGTTGATGATCATATTGATGCACATCGTTTCGTCGGTACAATGCTATTTATTTCTGCTATGATACATTCTCTTGCTTATGCAATTAATTTTGCTATAAATCTTGACGGTAAAATACATAAAATTTTTTTTGTTACATTGAAATTTATTTTTTTCTTATTTCGTATATTAGGACATTCATGGTTTTCATTAATATTTACAACAGCTGCAGGAATTGGTTGGGTTGGTCATTCAGCAACTATAACTGGTGTTATTCTATTTGTATTACTTATAATTATGGTTATTTGTTCATTTCAATGTATTCGACAACGATCTGGATGTTATCAATTATTTCGTTATACTCATTATTTATTTTGGCCAATTTTTATTCTACTTGTACTTCATGCACCGAATTTTTGGAAATGGGCTATTGGACCAATGGTATTATTTTGTTTTGAAAAAATTTATTTATTTAAACGGCATTTACCAAAATATGGTCGTACAAAATTAATTTCAATTCGAATTGAAGATGAACATGTTTTATCACTGATGATTGAAAAACCATCAAATTTTAATTTTCATGTTGGAGAATATATTAATATTTGTTTACCAAATATTGGTAAGTTTAAAAAAAAATATCATAAAGAATTATTATCTTTTTTTTTATAATTTTAGTTCGTAATGAATGGCATCCATTTACAATTTGTAGTAGTCCAGAACGAAAAGATATAATTCGTTTAACTATCATGAAAAAACAAAATTGGACAAGAAAAATCTATGAACATTTTTCAAAAGAACAAAATTCTGATAATAATGATATGGCAGAAATTATTGTGGATAATTTAAGCAATAATTCAGAAACAAATTCAAGAAATATGTCACTTTATCCAAGAGAAATTACATTTACTGATAAACAAAAAGATGCTATTGCTTGTATAGAAGGTCCATTTAGTACTTGTACATCGTATATATTTGATTGTGAACATGTTGTATTAGTCGGGGCTGGTATTGGCATAACACCCTATATAAGTGCTTTAGAAAGTTTAATCTATCAATTACGGGAACAACGTTGTAAATGTTCACGATGTGGCACAATGAATTATACACAATCAGTATTAAAAAATCAAAAATTGAAAAAAATTGATTTTATTTGGGTTAATCGTGATATTGGAAATGTTTCATGGTTTCGAAATATTCTTGATGAATTCGAAGCTGAACAAGAATCATATTTAGCTTCTACAACACCACCAGAAAGAACTAATTCACAAGAACAACGATCAAGATATCTTGATATTCATCTTTATTGTACATCAATACGTAGTAATGAACAAACTATGTTAGGAAATCTTCCTTATCATCTTGTTGCTAATATGTATGAAGTTATACGACATGAAGATGTGCATACACAATTAAGAACACCAACACATGTTGGACGACCACCATGGAAATTATTATTTGCAAAATTTAAAGCTGAACATCGATCAACCAATGTATTTTTTACTGGTAATAGAATTATGGCAGATGAAATTAAGAAACATTGTGATGAACATAGTTTTCGATTTCAAAATGAACCTTATTTTTAAAACATGTGTCAAAAAAAACACGAATATCTATATCTATATATATATATATGGATATACTTTTTGTACATTATTGAAGTCAAATTCATTTTAATTATATTTTTAGAAACAGTAATTCATTTGTGTTTTAGATATTTTTGTGTATAAATAAATGATTTATGTGAAAATCTATTCTTTGAATAAACAGTAGAATTCATTAAACACTATTTTTAACGCAGATATCTATTCGTTTTTAACTTATGACATCTGTATATAATGTTAAAAGATCTAATCGTCAAATCGCATAATATTGGATATATTAAAAAATCTTTTCAATTATAACCTTTTAACTTATGAGAAGTTTGAATATCCACTAATCGTGAATATTATTCTAATAATATTCGAAAGAAACTAATTGTAATTGTTTGGATCTCATTCAAATATTTTCAATTGAAAATAATAAATAAAATAATAAATGATTAAAGAAAAAATTGTAAAATATGAATTTATAATAGAGACTGATTAATATAATATATGATTTTTATTTTTATTAATTGATAATGGAAAATTAATGTCTACGAAAATATATTCGGAAACCATTTGCTTCACTTATTTTGTAAATATTCATGATTTATTTTCATCATAAACTCATAATGAAAAGAGATGTAAAACAAAAGAAAATACGTCTAACTAAATTTCATTCTGTTTTTGTATAAAAATTTCAAATATTGATAGTTAATTCTTTTAGAAAAGAACTATTCAACAATATTTCAATTTTCATATAACACTTCTTGCAAATAAACAAATACTCTCCTCTTCGTGATCTATTGCAATAGTTCGCTGTAAAAAATATTTGAATTAAATAAGATCAAATGATATTTGTATATAAATAAACTTTCATTAACAAAAATATGTACCTGTTAACATTTATAACACATGTCTCGTAATAAATGACCCACTTTTGTATCTCGTGTTTTCACCAATTAATACGTTGTATGAAATAAACAAAATATACCACAAGATGCAGCGTGAAAAGCTTATTTTAACTGTAAAGTCTTTGTTTTCCAAAAAGAAAAAATTCTGTGACATCAATTGATGCAGAGAATTCTGCTGAAAAAAATGAGATACAAAAGTAAATCATTTATTATGAAACACCCGTTAGCATTGATGATATAATCTTTATATAATAGAAAGAAAAAAAAATTTTATATATCAAATGAAATTATCTTGTGAGATATTCCTAATAAATTTCAACTAGTTACTCAAAATTGATTTATCATCTCAACATCATATGTGAGGATGTAATATTTATATTGCTACTATACAATAAAGAAAGACGAAAAATTAAGTAAAACAATATACTTACTGTTTGAAAAAGTCATGAAAAGATTGTTATATTTAAACTTTCAATAAAAAAAATAGAAGCTAAATATATTTATCATTTGTTTGAAATATTCTTTTCTAATATATTTATATATGAAAATTAGTAATCAACAATTAAATAAATTCCTGTATTTTTTTATATGAAGTGTATCCAGTTAGTTTTGTAGAATCGACAAACAATTTCCAGTACAAATTAAAATACTACAGTATAGCTGCCTAAATTGAAGTTCAAAAAATCTTCAGTTTAAATGATAAATACAGATATACGTTTTATTTTATTCATAAACTATATAATTAGTTAGGAATACGGAGCTAGTAGTAGATACAATTGTAGATTGTTATACTTGTTTGGTATATGACTTTGTGATTGTTTTTATGCTTTGAACAGTAATACAGAAAGAATAATATCTCAACTAGCATTCTATAATATTTCTCTACTCCTCATGAAGGTTTTAGGACAGTAATAAATTATGAATTATATTCATTGAAATACTATTTTACGATTATTTGATGAATGAAGAAAATCTATCAATTTAACAGATAATTGGCAGTCAGCTTTTAAAAAGATATCAAATCTTTGTTTACTTTTGAACAACCTTTCTCTGTTAAGTTAATCGTAGTATAGAGTTTTTGAAAAAAACGTTAGTCATAACAATTTCTATAGAGTATAATATTCTCATTGAAAAAAATACTTTTGTAATTTAAATATTTTCAACTATGATTCTAATGTGAGTTCTCAACAACATGATCTTAACCACTGCTCCATCTTAATTATTATTCAAATCCTTTTTATTAATCTTATAATAATCCGCTTATCTTCTGATACATACTATTCGTATTTTCACATTTTTATGCGTCTATCAAAATATTATTTCATTCAATAAAAAATGTCATTTATTAATATACAGAAATATTTTATCGTTATCATATTTTTCTTCACTTTAGTTTTTATCACAATATATTAGTTGCTTTATAGATTATGTTTAAGTTGAGTCTCTCATAGGTTTTTTGTTCTATACTCGATAGAAATATATCGATCATAAAAATTTATTATGGGGGATATAGCTCAGTGGTAGAGCATTCGACTGCAGATCGAGAGGTCCCTGGTTCAATCCCGGGTGTCCCCTAACTGTTTTTTTATTATTTTTGCTTGATACTCAGGCATGAAAATATATAGAATGCAATCTTTTAATAAAATAGAAAATGAAAAAAACAATTTAATTTTTAAAAATAAAATAAAAATAAGTGAAATAAAATTTTTAGAGAATAAATAAAGATAAATGTGTCATTAAAAAAAGTATAGTAAAATAAAAGGAAAAATGTCAAATGTTCACCGAAGAAAAAAAATGTTCAACGTCGATTAATATTAATCTTTCTCATTCGTTGTGCATGTCTTAACTGTGCTTTCTTCTTTAATGGATTAAACAAATTGGAAAACTTCGTAAATGCAGCATACATTACTAAAGCTTGTATAGGAACCATAGCAGCCATAGTAACAGCACTCATAATTGCTACCGGTTGTTTACATGCATTTATCTATTATACATATATGTGTTAAATATTAGTCTTATATAGTTGAAAACTTACGAAATCTTGAGGATACATGACAGGAACGGTAGTTGCAGTTGATGCACTTGCAGTAGTTGCACCCGCTGTTGTTGGAGCTATAGAACAGAATTTAATTAATTACAACAATACTTTCAAAAAAATAATAAGTTTTAATTTATATTTATTTCTCTGTATACAGCTACATAGATCTAGATGTGTACATTAGATTCTAAATCAATTAAAAGTAAAAGCATTTTTCTTACCAGCTGTAGTTGCAATTGTAGTAGTGACAGTTGTTGTAGTTGTGACAGCAGTCGTAGTAGTTACCACTATACCAGATGTTGTACACTATGAAAAAGTTTCATATTAAGAATAAGTATCAATTTAGATAAACTTACTGCAGTATTAATCGAAGTAGTGGTTGTATGTAAGGATGTAACTGTATGAGTTGTTGGTGGAGTAGTAGTTGTTGTTGTTGTAGACGATACAGCTGGATCCCAAATATTAAATACCCAATATGTTGGATCATACATCGGAGCAGATTCAGGACCTTTAATGATTTATCATTTTATTTATATCTCATTATTAATCGATATAATTAATAAACTATTACTTACCACAAAATTCAGTTCCACTGGCGACACCTTAAATCAAACAAAATAACAACATATTAATTGAAAATACTGTGTAAGACTAATAAATTTATACATACCACTATCAAATGTCACATAATAAAAATGTCCAGGAATCCATGGTGCAACTGGAAAACGAATGACAGTTGTATAACCTGTATATACTACTTCAGGTGCCCAACCACAATCAAATTTCTGAACGAGTGTATTATTAGCAGTAGCATCGGTGAAATAAATGAAAGTATTATTAAGTGTTGGACGATTTACAGCCTTTGTCGCTGAAAAAAAAATTTAAATACAATTCAATATATAAGAAATAGTGAATTAAACAATTAATCGAGAATATCTCTTAAGTTATTCACAAGTATTACTTTGAATCGAGAAAAGGGTTTGATTTTGAAAGACAGTGCC